GGCTATTTTCTGTACTGCCTTCGAGGAGCTCTCAGGAGCAGTTACAACTGGCAATGGTAAAATTATGTATTAGCTACAGAACATTTGAAATCTGATGTGCAGGTCCCAGAGAGAAGTCTGCCAGCTCAGCTGGGCCCTTGTCCAAGCTACTGGAAAGAAAGGGGCCCTCTGATGGCATCAAAAGAAGCCTTTCGTTTCTGGGAGCCTCTGACTGAGTTTGCTTCCCCAACTTCGCTGCTATGCCCCATCTACTGTCACCTGCTCTGGAAGGAGCCCTGCACCAGTAGGTGTTTGGATCCAACACTCATCACAGATCACTGCAATAGTCACATTCCAGTAACCACAAGAACTAATTTCTGGTCCTCCCAGCCAGCTATTAAATGGTCCTAACAAGTGCCCAGTAGCCAACAGCCCCCTCCCAAAATGCTGATGGTGGGGACTAAATTCTGTCCATTAACCCAAATTTATGACTAAGGAGTTCCATGTTATAATAAGGAGTAGAAGATGCCTGGGGGGAGCTGGATGTAGTGTCCTGTTTAAAGCCATTGCAGAGCCTAGTGAGATGGGGGAAGCAGAAAATGTGCGATTGACAGAGTCAGAGAGGATGAGCAGCACAGAGACTGGAGAACGGAGGGCTGGAACTTACCTGCTGGAGTCACGATGGTGATCGGCAAGATTGCAAATTCATTCCATGTGTGGTTGTGTTTCCTGAACTGGAGTTGATGTTGATAACCTGAAAGAGAAAACGGTTAGTGCTTTTGGGGCTGCTCTAAAGGAGGAGCCTGGTGGGTGGGGGACTACAGACAGGGTCAGTCTCCAGTGGGTGAGGGCAGCACTCGGGTAGTAACACAACTCATCTGCATGGGAACACTCAGGAAAATTAAGGGGAAATCAACTAACGCTGCAACATTAATGTGCATAAGTTAGACTGCATTAATCCCCGGTGTGGATGCTCCAATACTGAAGTAAAGCGGCTTTAGTTCATAACCTAATTTTCCTTAATGGTAATTTGTGGATTGTGCTACAAACAACAAAATATTTACATGCACAGATGTAGGGCTCTGCATGGGGACACATTTCCACATGCTCACATCACTCAGTCCCTTAAAATGAACAGAAGAAGGAAAAAGTGAAGTGAAAGAGGAAGACCAAAGGAGAGACCTGGACCAGAATTTACAGAAGAATGCCATCAGGGTGGATTGATTTATATCAAAGTGATTTAAATCAAAGATTTTAATCATGATTTAAATCAGCAAACGGGAAACCTTTTTTAAAAAATACACCTCTACCCCGATATAACGCTGTCCTCGGGAGCCAAAAAATCTTACCGCGTTATAGGTGAAACTGCGTTATATCGACCCTGCTTTGATCCGCTGGAATGTGCGGCCCCGCCCCTCCGGAGCGCTGCTTTACCATGTTATATCTGAATTCGTGTTATATCAGGACGCGTTATATCGGGGTAGAGGTGTAATTGATTTTAATTATGTTTTGCATTTGTACTTTTTAGTTATTTTCCTAAAGAGAGGCTGTTTCTCATTGTTTAGTAGCCATTAAAGCATGTTGATTTGTAACTAAATATTGTCTTTACACTACATTTGGTGCTTCTTTTTGCTAAGCAGGAGGACATACTATATCTGTACACATTTTTTAAAGCATTTATATAGGTTAACTTAAGAATCTGAATAAATGTAATTTTTATATTTCATATTATGTTCGAAAATGGTGAACAGTGTAATTCTTACTTACCAGATAATTAGAGCTTGATGCAAATTACAAGTAAAAACTATTTGGACGGAAATTCAAATTCCATTAAAAATTAACAAAAACAGCTTTTTTCTTTCATTAAATAAACTACCTTAAATAGGCTGAATGCATCAGAAAAAGTTTATCAAAATATATTTTGCATTTAAAACTAACTGATTTATTAATCATAGGAAGTATTATCTGTAGTTAATCAATTGAACTGATTAGTTCTGGTCGCTGTGTCCTTCAAGATTTAAGAACTAGTAGATCTCACCCTATCACATCTAGTTTTCATTCATAGATTGGGAGAGGCTGCTTTTCCAGCTCCTAATACATTTCTTAACTTCGAAGAAACTAATCATTGGACTGAAGTAGTTGAATAAACCGAAATGAGGAAAATTCTCTCTACACCTGCAGAAGAGGAGACTGCTGGCAAGAGTGAGTTTAGCCCTTCCCCAATCTGCCAGGTGCTTTCCCAAGTGACTTCCACCACTTCAGTGGTTTGACTCTCTTTAAAATTTGGCAGCAAACCTGTACTGCTTATTTTCTGTATTTAATTTAAAATTATTTTAATAGATTATATGTCGTTGCCCAGTCACGCCCCCATAGTGCGGTAGCCAGTCCTGACAGTCGTTTATTTTAATAGATTATATGTCGTTTATGCCCTAACATAGTTGTCAATTTCAGATTTAATTTTGAATAGATTTGTCTTTTTAAATAAATCTGCATTTAACTTAAATGAAAACAATCCAGTTTAATTTTTTTAAATTACATTGTATTTTTTTAATTTCCACCCCACGGATATGATACCTGTAACTACCAAAATAGCCTGCTCCACACCTCTAACTTGTACCCGTGCTGT